ATGGTGGGGAGTGGGGGGGGGGGAATGAGCAGGTATTTTTGTTTTTATGTCTTTAGTGAACTTTTTAAAAATTTCTTCACAAATATTTTACTTTTTAAGTGCATCTAAAAAACATTAAAAAAAAACTGACTAAAATATGGAAAAAGTTTGCTAAAGACGCAAAGAATCACAAAAAACTCAAAAACAGTTTTTAGTTGGAAAACCAAACAACTATAACCACAAATTTGAGAATAAAACTAAGACTATTACCCATTAAAAGAAAAAGTATAGGGGAGAAAAGGTTGGGAAGACGGAAGCAATGTTGAATGTTTTAAGGTAGCTATGAAGCACAGATACTTCAAATAGGAAGACGTATTCGTATCGTATCCGTATCGATACTCCTCGGATACTTACGGATACGTATCAGATACTTATTAAAAGTATCGGATACTTCTTAATTAATTTTGAAGTATCAAATCCTTCAAGTCACGTATTACTCCTTTTATGAAATTAGAATTGTATTATTTCTTGCATAACATCATGATATAATATAATTGCGAGAATAAACAGAATATTTTTACAATACTTTGCTTAGTCTTTTTTTTTTTTATAAAAATAACATAGTAAGCTCAAATATTAGAATTCATCAAATTGACATATCTTCATTATATCATGCGTGTCCCCTATAACTACATAGAAGTAAGGGTTAATAAGATAATATAACAATAGTAAAATTAAATATCAATAAATGAATAAGAAAATAAACTTGCATAGAATATTTTTGACTAGTGCAAAAGGAAAAAACATAGGGTCAAGTTATGGATTGTTTGGATATTATAATATCAACATATTAGACTTTATATTGAAATGAAATATTTTCAAGACCTATTGAAAATTTAAAAACTAAACTAGCTAATATCTTAAATTAATACCTAATTCTTAAAGATTAGTATTTTGCATTATAAAGTTACTGTGATTTCTCAATATTCTTGAGCTTATGTGTAACTCATTGCTAATAATTTATTTATTTTTTATTTTTTACAAACGTATCCTAACCGTACCCGTATCTTACTTTTTTAGGTTTTGCTGTATCGCCGTACCCGTATCGTATCATATCCGTATCTCGTATCTGTATCCGTGCTTTCTAGTACGGTAGTAAAGTTTGGTTGCCTACTTGCCTCAGAACCTTTACAGATCAGAATATTTCCAGGATGGGGATCTGCATGGAAGAAACCACTCTTCAGTATCATTTGTCCATAAGCAACTGCCAAACTTTTAAGGATGTTCCTGCATTTGAGATATTTTAGTAAGAGCGTTATGCTTTCATTTAATTATGTCAATGTTGTTGAAGGATAGCCAATAAAGAAAAGCAAAGTACAAGAAGAAGGAAGCCGTGGAGATGCCTTTTGAGAGAGGATACCACATTCAAGGTGAAATGATTTCCCTTGGTCTAGGGTTTTTTGTGCAATTTAGTTTGTCATTTGAATATTATCATGGAATTTGCCTAGACACCATCAGAAAAGGTACCTAGAAAAAGCAAGCACATTTACTAATAAAGATGAGGGTGCAAGGATCCATCTCAGGGATATTTACAATACCAGGCAATACTTGCATTCAAAAAAGAAATCCTGAAGGATGAGGCCATTCACATGTTTGAATACCTCTCTCACACTTCTACAATAACATATTAAAGCACTTCATCTCAAGAAAAACTGCCCAAAATGTCTTACAGCTTAAAAGAAGAAACTAAGATATAAGCTAGTAAGTTATGGATTTAAAGTAGATGATATGAACTTTTTGCATAAAAATGGGGATTATGATAAGAAAAAATTGGCAGAAAAGGACTTCATACTCTCTGAGGTAATCAATGGGCTTACCTCTTTGCCGAGCTGCGATCTTACCACCAGGATTTATGCCTCTTTTAGCTATTTCATCTCCAAGCTTTAGAATTGGGATTCCGTCAATATATTCCATTACTAAGACCCTCCTAACAAAACAATGAAACACATTTAATTACCGCCAGGTAAAGTAAAAGAGCTTGCAGAATGATCAACAATGAAGTGAAGCAGAATCACAAATATACATAAACCAGCAGATCAGTAGCTAAAAAAATGAAGTTAAATTCACTACAAGAACACATAAGCCAGCATCTGTAGCTAAAAAAATAAAGTAAATTAATTTGGGAATTTATAATCAATCTAATTGCAGAGTCCAAGACCATTAAATACAGTAGGACAATCTAACCAATGTTTTAAACAGTGAAAGAGCAGGGTGACATACTAGAGAGCCTATACCAACGATTCTCATGTTCATCCTCTGCAACCATGTTATTGTTAATATTTTCAGAAAATATTTCCAAATCCACAGTGCTTTTTTCCAACTTTCCAGTCAGCAGAATGAATGCTTGTCCAAAACATCATAATGATAACATATCTGACCTTAAGTTTTGGGATTTAACTACATACTTTTCTCTGCCACTTCATCCTGTCAGACATCATATTTTCCGGATGAAAAATAAAAATCTAAATATCTTCTTTCTAATGTATTCTTCCCCCCAAAAGAGAAATAAATGAACAAATCATCCCCTCTTACTAGTGAAATTCACATCCTCTCAGTTTTCCAGTTCTGATTTTTTGAAATTTAAACTAAAGTAGTTTCCTCTGCCACTTCATCCTGACAATAATTTTTTCTCTTTTTCTCTTTTTCTCTTCTTTTTTTTTTTTTTTTTCTTTCAGATGAAACATGAGCATTTACATCTCTTCTTACTTTTTTTTACAATAATTTTTTCTCTTTTTCTCTTTTTTTTTTTTTTTTTTTTTTCTTTCAGATGAAACATGAGCATTTACATCTCTTCTTACTGACTACATTATTACCCTGTTCCCCTGTTTTTAGCACCTTCTAAGATGCAAATGTTTTCTCACTGATTTACCTATTTAAGTTGAGTATGTAAAGTGAGAAGAGCAGTGATCATAGTGTGCCTTCGTATTCAAGTGTCTGTTTGTTCATGCACATGATAACATTTTCCTTTCAGAGTGTGTTTGTGTATTCAATCAAACTATATTGTACTGCAGAGGTCAATTTTGACAAAAAGTAAACAATGTGACAAGAAAAAGCCAATTCACAAAGCCTCAAACTAAACTCAGCCAATATCCTACATTGAATTTGATGAAAATCCTTTTTCACAAAGAAGAGACTTGGCTTCTTCATTCATACAATAGAAAATAGAACAAAGGCACGACCATGAATTGTTTTTGTATTATACCCTTCAAAGATCATATTCCTGAGCATTAATTTAAGCTCTCACTCTCAGCAAATAAACATCCAATTAGAGGATTGAACATTCTATTGCATGAAGGTCGCTCAAATCAAACTAACCTAAATACCATGGGCAACCAAAAGTGACATAATCAGAAACAAAGTCACGTAGTTGTCAGTAAATATGCAATTATCATTATCAAATGAAGTGTAATATTAAAATTCCCACTGGGGCATAAAATACCTCTTTCCAACCATTTAACAAGGTTCAGTATTAAAAAGTTTCATAATTACAATACAACAATGCAAAATATTTAGGTCCTAGTTAATTCTGCAGAGCAAGCTAGAGGAAAACGAAATATGGCATAACATACCTAGTGACCATATTCCGTATCACCCTTGGCACCATAACAGGAGAATTTTTATTGTTCTCGTGTAGAAAATGCCTAATTCTTTCCATGGCATCAGCTTCTCTACCCGATCTTGAACGATAGAAATGAAAACCAGATTATCATCCAAAAACATGATCTGATAAAATCTCACACAAATTGTGTATTCAATCAAACTATATTGTACTGCAGAGGTCAATTTTGACAAAAAGTAAACAATGTGACAAGAAAAAGCCAATTCACAAAGCCTCAAACTAAACTCAGCCAATATCCTACATTGAATTTGATGAAAATCCTTTTTCACAAAGAAGAGACTTCCTACTCCTCACCTACTTACACTCACCCTCTCCTATATAATGAGCTACTCACCATTTGTAATATATGTATCAACAACACAATATACATCAATCAATAATATACATCAATTTTTCTTACAAGCTTAGCATTAGAAAGATAAACAAATATACACTTATGCATTTCTTGTGGTCCAGCACAGGACAAACACAAACCTTGTTCAATTGAGTAAAGAATTCTTCATTTATTTTTCTTTCAATTTTAACACTAACCTAAATACCATAGGCAACCAAAAGTGACATAATCAGAAACAAAGTCACATAGTTGTCAGTAAATATGCAATTATCATTATCAAATGAAGTGTAATATTAAAATTCCCACTGGGGCATAAAATACCTCTTTCCAACCATTTGACAAGGTTCAGTATTAAAAAGTTTCATAATTACAATACAACAATGCAAAATATTTAGGTCCTAGTTAATTCTGCAGAGCAAGGCAAGCTAGAGGAAAACTAAATATGGCATAACATACCTAGTGACCATATTCCGTATCACCCTTGGCACCATAACAGGAGAATTTTTATTGTTCTCGTGTAGAAAATGCCTAATTCTTTCCATGGCATCAGCTTCTCTACCCGATCTTGAACGATAGAAATGAAAACCAGATTATCATCCAAAAACATGATCTGATAAAATCTCACACAAAGAAAAAGCCTATATTTACTAAATCAGGAAAGAACTCGGAGAGTTCATTTAGCACTGATACAACTTGGAGTTGGACGTATGCAATCAAGGAAATAATGAAAATTATGAAGTTCAATATAACTACAGACCTCTCTTTGAACATTTAAACAATAAATATAACCAAAATAGGAGAAACACTCTGTAGAGCATCATTTTGTTAGCATTGTAGATAAATTGTCACTCATGTAAGGAAAATAGTTTTGATTTCTCTTCTCTAAAAGTATGTACATTAGTTCCAAAATGCTAATCATAATAATTAGAGAAAGCAACAATCCTAGAAATCATGATGAATTTGGCAGTAAGAAACAGACTATTTGAGATTCATTTGAATATCTAAAGCACCATGGCCAATTCTAAACAGCAGCTAATCCTTTAAAAGCCTATACCAAGGCATCTGACTTGTTATGATATGAGAAATGGAGAGGAACCAAATCTGATTTTGAATTGGCAGAAACTCACCAAGTTACATTAATCAGATTTCATTTTGAAATTTAAACACTTTTCAGAAAATTCTACTTTCTTGTTTTCCGTATTTTTTTGTTTTTACTAATTTTTTTTTTTAATTTTTAGACACACTTAACATAAATACACTTAAAAAGTATAAATTTTGTGGAAAAAAAATCTTTAAAAAATTCACTAAATACTAAAAATTAAAAAAAAAATACAAAAATTAAAAATATTTTTCATATTTTTTCATATTTATTAATTTTTTAAAATATTTTTTCACAAATATTTTACTTTTTAGATATATCTAAGTAAGGTGCATCTAAAAAAGTTAAAAAATGCTTAAAATTTTAAAAATATTCACTAAAAACACAAAAAACTCAGTTTTTAAAAAACTAAATTTAGAAAACTAAAACCAAACACACTGAATAGTGTTTTGCATAGAGGCCCATAGCAAGAAACGGAAAAGAACCAAGTTTTTTTTCAAACGAAGGTTTACTTTTTTTTTTTAATAAATAAACAAACTTTATTGAGAGAGCATCAAGAAGATGCAAAGAATACAAAAGGCACCCCCATACAAAGGAAAAAAAACTAACAGCACCTAACCAATAACATTATTCAAGAAATCTAAGAAAACAAACACATTCGAATCAACCTTCCTCTCCAACCAACCATACAAAACTATTAATAAACAACTCTCTAGCCAAGATACACAATGATGAACCTCTTGAAACGTTCACCAATTCTGTTCCAATCAAACCAACCACAAACATAACGACACCAGCAACCATACCCGCCGCCAGTGACGACCAACCTGAGCCCCCGTCCAACTCCAAAGCATTTCCATCACCCCTTTCGGCTATATCCAAGCAATCCCAAAGATAGAACAAATAAGCCCTCCACAACTGCGAAGCCATTAAACAATGAAGAAACAAATGATCCACCGACTTCGCATTAGCACAATACATATAACATTGATTCACTATAATATTACCACGCCGAACCAAATTATCAATCGTAAGATTCTGTCCTAAGGCAACCGTCCACAAAAAGAAAGCCATCTTAGACGGAGCTCCTGGCACCCAAATACTCCGCCAAGGAAAGTCCCTCCCCACCTCCCCCACCAAACTCCGATAAAACGACGAGACAGAAAACTGCCCCTTAGCGCCTACACCATTCCACACCAAGACATCCTCCCCCGAACAGAGTGTAAGGGTCTACATAGTACAGAAACTTCTATACTGACAGGTCGGAGAGCAACACATCTCCAACAACCCTAAAAACATATAGGATGTCTAGGAATTCCAACAAAATGAATTAGACATCATCATTTGGGCCACTTGGCCAACACTTCTCTGATTCTGTCCTTGACAAAAACAGAAGGCCAGTGCCAATCAAGGATGAAAAAGACACAATTGAAAATGAGTAAAGTGCAGTTGCAAAGAAAATAATGAGTAGTAATATTATAATCATGTGATTATGGATATGATATTATAATCATGTATCTATTTGTGTCCTCATTGTATCCCTTCCTACTGCTTTTGTGTTGAAGTATCTGTTTTTAGTCATGTCTGTGCCCACGTCTGTGTCTGTCCTCCATAAGCGATTATCATATAATTGATAGAAAACATTGAAAATATTTAACCAAATTATGGAATATCTACTAAGTTGTGCTCGGTAGACTTGTCAAATATTTGAAATATCAGAAACCAGAATCATTCAAATAAACTTTGTAGATAATAAAAAAATTATTATATTCAAATAGTGTGCAGTTTTACTGAGAGTAACTTTAAGAATTCAATCTAAAAACTCAAATAGATATATAATCCTACACTCTCCATTCAATAAATAGTACTGTATTGGGCTTATTGATTGAACAACTATTATGTCATCACTCAATCATCATGTACATTATTCAAGTAGGGTTTCAAAAGACTGATGGCTCTTGTATCCCATCACAAGATAAAAACAGTAAAGCACATTCAACATTTATCCTCAGTTTTTTTCTCTCCAATTTTACGTTTTTCCCTTTTCTTTGGCAAGACAAAATTATGATCAGGTTTCACGGGCTTTATGAACAGAAAGCACAAGTTGTTGCCACAAAATCATTTAAAATACCAGGTTGAAATGTTATGCACACCTGTTTCTCCATTTCCTTAGTTATAGAGAAGAGATCGAATTTGATATCTGTCTTTTGCATGTATAATGCAAAAGCTTGCAGGTTACGAATATCTGTCATCATCAACTACTGAACACCAGGATGTTGCACCTACATCACCATATCAGTCTAAACCTGTAAAACATATAGGGGAAGCAAAGTTAAAGTATCCTTACCTTGACAACAACATCTCTTTTGTCACCTTTTAATCTCGCTCGGTGCACCTAAATTGAGTAAGAAACGTAAGTAAGGTGTAAGTGTAACTCTCCGCAAGCATTATTACAAAATTCCATCCTAAATCACTTCACTGTGGAAAGCAACCCCTTAACAAGGTTGAGATGAGGTTTCCTTTTGTCATGTGAAAGTTATGACTGTTTGTGTCTTGTCAATTTATAAATAAATGGATAGGAACCAAAATGACCTTGAACTACACAGGTCCTGCTAGGGTTTTGTCTTTTACAAGACTTCTAATAATGTCTCTTTCTAAATACAGATTCTACAATATATCAATATCAAGTAGCTACAAAAAAACCAAACAGTAAAAGTAAAAAATAAAAAATGATATAAAAAAAAAAAGAGAGGAAAATATTTGCCAGGTCAAGCTCAGTAACACTTGTCAGTAAACAAATTTTCTTCAAACCAATAGGAAGATTTATCTGTGGAACTCAAAAGCATTTTAGTTAAGTTCACAACCAGAGATCTAACTTCATTTTGTTGAATGGCAGGTTTCCATACACATATATGATGCTCTATCACTAGTATCAGAGACAATCAAATTTTCCATAATGCCATTTAAACATCTTTACCTTCAAACCATTGAGTTCTCAGAAATTGAACATTTTTTTTAGCATCCTACTATTCATTTTCATGGTAACATGTCTTAATAACTTAATACCAAACAAACGTATCCATGGATGCTGACAGAAACTCGTGTCGGTTTTCAACTTCATCCATACATTTTATTTTATGCAGAGCTACTCAAAAAATTTAACAATACTCCAGTACTGCCGTGATAGAAGTTCATATTTACTCATGACTGGGGGGACTTCTCTAATTATTCTCTAGAAGTAAAATTTCTAAAAATGATTCAAACGACTCATTGAATCTTTGAGCAGGTCAGAGACCTCAGTTACCAATAGAAGCAGAACCAAGAGGATTCACTTCAAATCTTTTGAACAATCCATCTAAACTTTGACCCAACTCCTTCTCTAGCACCACTCAGATGACATCATATGGGGTTGCAGGGGATTGATCGCACAGCGTAACAAGCCTTCTAACCCATGCAGCCGGGGCTAAGTCAGGCTTCCCAATGATTTGGGCAACCTAAACCAAACCCCATCCCACAAAGTAAATTAATCTCCACCATAAACATCATTAAACAGAAACTATCGATCAATATCAAGTATCACAAGTAACCAAATCAAATATCAAAACAGCCTAAATAGTGAACCCAATTGGAGAATTAAAATAAGAATAGCCAAATTCAATAAATAGTGCATAATTCAACAAATCCCTTGGCATTAATTTATACCCATTCAAAACCCAAAAACGAGCACAAAATCAAAAACCCACATAAGAAGTAAAATCATTGATTATACCATGAGAATTAATTAACAAGTCTCTAGAGTACAAAATTAAATATTCAAAACAACCTAAATCATGAAACCCAATCGAAGAATTAATAAACAGTGCACAATTCAACCAATCCCTTAGGCATTACACCATTCAAAACCCAAAAACAAAATTGAAGAGCACCAAAGCAAAACCCCACAAAAGAAGTGAATCATTGATTAAACCAATTGAATTGATAACAAATCACTCAAGTACCCAGTTTAAATATTGAAAACAGCCTAAATTGCAGCCCAATTGGAGAACTAAAACAAAGAACAGCCAAATCCAATTCATAGTGCAGAATTCAAAAAACCCCTTGGGCATTACATGATTCAAAACCCAAAAACGAAGTTGAAAAGCACAAAATCAAAAACCCACATAAGAAGTGAAATCGTTGATTATACCGTGAGAATTAATAACAAGTCTCTTGAGTACCCAAATAAAAAAAACAGCCTAAATCATGAAACCGAATTGGAGAATTAAAGCAAAAAATAGCAAAATCCAATAAACAGTGCACAAGTCAACAAACCCCTTAGGCATTACCCCATGCAAAACTTAGAAAAGAAGTTGAAGAGCACAAAATCAAAAACCCACATAATAAGAAGTGAAATCATTGATTATACCATGAAAATTTACCAGATAAAATATTGAAAAGAGCCTAAATCATGAAACCCAATTGGAGAATTAAAACAAAAATAGCAAAATCCAATAAACAGTGCACATTTCAACAAACGCCTTAGGTACACTACACCATGCAACACCCAGAAAAGAAATTGAAGAGCACAAAATCAAAAACCCACATAATAAGAAGTGAAATCATTGATTGTACCTTGAGAAAAAAGCCACCAAGGTCGGAGCACATGTTATATATCTTCTAAGCGGCAAACTTTGTTAGCTCCAGCCCACACTTCACATAGTGAGGAGCCTCCACATGGTGAGGGTGGCACCATGTGCAAAAGGAAGATGGCGGATAGCTAAAAGAAGATGGTGGGGGTGCCGCACAACCAAACCCACTCAGTGTGTCTCTTAATCACTCCTCCTCTCTCGTGTTTGAGATGAGTGAGGAGGGATTGATCAGTGAATGCAGTGAGCACACTGAGGATAAACAGGAGAATATAATCCGTGAGGGAGAGTGGTGGATAAGTAATTGCCGACACACGTAAATCTCTCGTATCGTTCGGGAAGAGTTTATTTGGGTTTTTTTTGACTCTTTAGTTACAAAAAAAAATAGAACAGGTTATTTGAATCACAACAGATAAAATATCGCATTTAATTTATAATTATTATATTTTTTTTTCACAAAAAAATTTAAAAAGTCAAAAAATTCTTCCCAAATCAAGCTTTTGAGCATAGGATCAAATAGTCAAAAAAGTTAAAAAGCCAAAAAGTCAACCCACTTCCCAAATAGAGGCTGTGTGTGATTGATTTTTGGTGTCTTATAGATCTAACAAGTGGTATCAGTGCTTTATCGGTCACATTTTAGAACAAAAACAGAGTGTTTTTCAAAATTGTCCATAAATAAGTTGCTCAAAATTCATTTTTGAGCATACCAGGAGCAAAGACTCGACGAGAGGAATCCAAAACTGCAAAGCAGAGGCCGAATGCACCATCACTCGCCCTCGGAAGTTAAAGAGTGAAGCCCAGTTGCAGCATGCGCTACATGCGCCGTTTTACAACCAGCGCGTCTGCACATGCGCAAGCACGCGCCCTCACGCGCGCAGAAAGAAGAAGACGAGCCGCGTGGTAGCCACCTCAGCGACACGTCATTACCACGTGTCATATGTTGACCATGCCATTGACCGAGCCGAAGCCGAAGCAAAAAATTTTTATAAAATAGAGTTTGAATTTATTTTTATAAAATATTTTAAAATTAAAAAAATTAAAATCATAATATTTAAAAATATTCAAAAAATTAAAAAAAGCATAACATATTTAAAATCTTAACAAAATTAAAATATTTAAATATTTAAAAAATTAAAATATTGATTTGAATTGAATTTTGAAAAGAGTTTTGAATTATGTGTTTGGTTATGAGTTTTGGAAAGTAATAATTATGTTTTAAATTGAGTTTTGAGAAATGGGTGTAGAATTATGATTTGAAAGTTCCAAACAAACAACACACTCAAATCAATGGGTGGAACCATATTTTGAGAGGCTTTCCAAACGGAGTCATAGTGTTTTTTGAAATTGTCCATAAATAAGTTGCTCAAAACTTATTTTTGAGCATACCACGAGAGGAATCCAGAACTGCAAAGCAGAGGCCAAGAAGAGGCCAAACGCGTCATCACGTGCCCTCGGAAGTTAGAGAGTGAAGCCCAGTTGCAGCATGCGCTACATGCGCCGTTTCACAACCAGCTCGTCTGCACATGCGCAAGCACGCGCCCTCATGCTCGCGGAAGGAAGAAGACGAGCTGCGTGGTAGCCACCTCAGCGACATGTCATCAAACGTCATCACCACGTGTCATGCGTTGACCACGCCGTTGACCGAGCCGAAGCCGAAGCCGAATTCGTTGAGCCGCGCCAGAACCAAGCTGCTTCCCAAGCCACGTTGACCAGCTGTTAACTAAGCCAAGCAGAGCCGTTGACCGCGCTTAGCCGCTTTGACCGGAGGAATTATCCGGTGCTTCTCAGCCGCACCTGATTCTGCAGATCTGAACCGTCCAAGCTGTTTTAGCTCGATTTGAGTCATTCTGAGTCCGTTTTTTATGATCTAATAGTGCTTTCCAACTATTTGGAGTATTTCGAACACATCCGTATGGTCAGATTTTGTAAATCAGATTTTAAAAATTTCCAGTCTTTTATTTGGCAATCCAAAGTGTTTTTTCGGCTAATTTGACTAGTCCGGACTCAACAGCGAAGCCTGTTTTTCAGACAGAGATCATTTGCTATAAAAAGAAAGAAGGCAATGGAGGAATCTACTTCAACTTCAGGATCCATGATCAAATTGAATCCTTTCAATTATGCAATTTGGAAGTCACGGATGGAAAACATCATGTATTATAAGAACCTGTTTGACCCTATTTTTGTAAAAGGGGTTAAACTAGAAGAAGTAAAGGATGATGAATGGATAAAGATGAACCGCAAGACTATCGGTTGTATCAGACAATGGATAGACCACAGTGTGTTCCATCATGTTGCCAAAGAGACAGATGCTTATGCTCTTTGGGCAATGTTAGACAACATGTACCAGTCAAAGACCGCCCGAAACAAAGCCTTGGTGATGAGAAGGCTTGTAAATCTGAAGTTGAGGAATGGTGTGTCTGTCGCCGAGCACACCAGTGAATTCAAAATTCTGGTTAATCAGCTTGCAGCCGTCAAGATGCGCTTGGGCGATGAAATGCAAGCTGTACTACTGCTCAGTTCTTTACCGGACAGTTGAGAGACATTGGTGGTTTCTCTCAGCACCTCTACACCAGAAGGGAAGCTAACCATGAGCATGGTCACAGACGCTATGTACAATGAAGAAACAAGGAGGAAAGACATGAGAGGTAATCAGTCTCATGCTTTTGTCACAGAAGATAGAGGTAGAGAAAGAGGTAAAGGAAAAGGCAGAGGAAGAAGCAAGAATAGAGGCAGCTGGAACAACAGGAGTAAATCTAGAGATAACAAAGGTCGAGGTAACTCCAGCTTCACTTGCTTTCACTGTGGCCAGGAGGGTCACATAAAGAGAAACTACCCAAGCCAGAAAGATAAAGGCCAAAGCAGTAAGTCAAAGGGAGATAAGAACAAGACAGCCACAATAACTGATGAAATACTTCTTGCAGTTGGTGAAAAGGATGATTGCCTTCACTCGGCTGACCACAGTTGTACAGAATGGGTGATAGACATAGCTGCATCCTATCACGCCACTTCCCACAGAGAACTCTTCAGCTTGTACAGTGCTGGAGATTTTGGCACTGTTCGAATGGGGAATTCTAGCTATTCGAAGATTGCGGGTATTGGCGACATTAGCATTCAAACTAATGTCGGGCACAAGCTAATTCTCAAAGATGTGAGGCATGTTCCAGATTTGCACCTCAATCTTATCTCCGAAAGCACCCTGGACCGACAGGGCTATACAAGTACATTCGAAAATGGCTGTTGGAAGCTAACAGGAGGAGCTTTGACAATTGCCAAAGGAAAGATGTCTTCAACACTGTACAAGACTCAAACGAAGATATGTCTGGAAAGTCTTAATGCAGTAGAAGACAAGGAGTCACTAGACTTATGGCACAGAAGACTAGCTCACATGAGTGAGAAGAGATTGCATCTGTTGGCAAAGCAATCCAGAATACCCTTATCCAAAGGGAGTGCCTTGAAGCCGTGTGATCATTGTCTTTATGGCAAATAGCATCGAGTATTATTCAGTTCGACGAGCAAAAGGAAACTAGAAGTGCTCAATGTGGTATACTCGGATGTTTGTGGCCCAATCGAAGTGGAGTCACTTGGCAGCTGCAAGTATTTTCTAACTTTCATTGATGATGCATTAAGAAAGTTATGGGTGTATTTCCTGAAGACAAAGGATGAGGTTTTTCAGCACTTTCAGGAGTTCTATGCAATGGTGGAAAGAGAGACCGGGAAGAAGTTGGAGTGTCTTTGCACAAACAATGGAAGTGAGTACACTTCCAATGTTTTTGCAGCATATTGTGCCAGTAGAGGTACCTGGCACGAGACAACAGTTCTCGGCACCCCACAACACAATGGTGTGGCAGAGAGGATGAACCGCATTATTGTTGAAAGAGTCAGATGCATGCTCAGAATGGCAAAGTTGCCAAAGTCATTCTGGGCTGAAGCCGCCCGTACAGCCTGTTATCTCATCAGCAGGTCGCTTTCAGTCCCATTGAATTTTGCGATACCTGAGGTGGTCTGGTCCAGAAGAAAGGCATCATATTCTCACTTGAGAGTCTTCGGGTGTAAGGCATTTGCACACATCTCCAAGGAAAACAGACAGAAGCTTGATGACAAGTCCACTCCATGCATATTTGTGGGCTATTCAAATGCAGCATTTTGGTACAAGTTGTGGGACCCAGTGAACAAGAAGATGTTCAAGAGCAAAGATGTTGTGTTCCAAGAAGACCAGACAATAGCAGATTTTGAGAAGTTTGCAAAGTCTAGAGATGTCATCACTCCAGACTTGTTCCCATCTCCCGAGCCCTCACAAAATGATAGATGCGATGATGTGCAACAAGAAGTGCCAGAGTTGCAGGATCCTATGCCAGAAATTAAGGATCAAGAGGAAAGCGATGAAGACCTGGATGAAGAGGGTGTTAAGCAAGGGGAGCAACCCCCTCAACCAGAGGTAATTGGGCCTCAGTTGCAGACATCTGGAAGAGCTACCGTGCCATCAACCAAATATCCCGCTTCTCAGTATATTCTGATTACTGATGAGGGGGAGCCTGAGAGTTTTTCGGAAGCAAAAAGTCATACAGAGAAAGATTATTGGATGCAAGCCATAAAGGAGGAGATGAGTTCTTTGTAGAAGAACCACACTTATGAGCTTGTTCCACTTCTAAAAGGCAGGGGAGCCTTGAAAAACAAATGGGTGTATAAATTGAAGAAAGATGGCAACGATAAAATATTGCAGCATAAAGCTTGCTTGGTGGTCAAAGGTTTTGGGCAGAAGAAGGGAATTGACTTTGATGAGATCTTCTCTCCAGTTGTGAAGATGACTTCCATTCGAGTAGCTCTGGGATTAGCAGCTTGCTTGAATCTAGAAGTAGAACAGATGGATGTCAAAACTGCCCTTCTCCATGGTGATTTGGTGGAAAAGATCTGCATGGAGCAACCAGAAGGATTTGAAGTTAAAGGGAAACAGAATCTAGTCTGCAAACTGAAGAAGAGTCTCTATGGCTTGAAGCAGGCACTGAGACAATGGTACAAGAAGTTTGATTCATTCATGGTGGATCACGAGTACACAAGAACAGTAGCAGACCGGTGTGTATATTTCCGA